ACTATGGTTGTGACACTTTGCTCGATATTGACCTGCCATATTCATGCATATTGTTTTGTTACAATTTGAGACATTCCAAGGACTATATGCTAATACATACAACATGCATGAACTCATTCCATCAAACTTCAAGTGATACAGAATAGATGATATTATATCCTACAAACTTCAACTTCTTTCTTATCCGTAGGACTAAGATGTATGTGAAACTTGTTTCGAGTGGAAGTAGGTGCATAATGTGAATCAATTTGACCAACTATTAACAGCAAAGAATATCCAGCCCTGCACAAGCACAAAAATTTAATAAAACGCAATACTCTTTGGTTCAAGGGATCCACTCATTTGGTGTCTGGTGTAACCCTGGAACAGTTGAAAAGTGGGTAGAGTAATATATATATATATATATATATATATATATATATATGTTAAAAGCTAAGCCATATATATATCCATTTTCTTTATTATCTGTGTTCTTACGTCTAAATACCTAAAGTCATTAATAAAAGCCAATATTTTTCCTTGCATTCTCTTTTGTACTCTGTGTTCATCTAGATCGAGTGTGTGTAGTATTGTACGATTCTAAAAAATTATAGATAGATACTTATTTAGATTATCTAGATAGTAAATATTGTTGAGAAAACCAATTTTAAATACGAAAATTCAATAGATGAATAAAAGGAAAAACTTCTAACATTTAATTGACATAAAACAAGGAATCCCACGAGAATAAAAGAAAGGGAAAACAGAAACATGATATAACAGCAGGCATGAGGCAAATTATGAATTGGGGATTGGAATATATGAGGGGGTGATCCGTAAGGATTGGCACACTCGAGAAAGGGATGGGTGATGTAAACGAGGAGTGAGAGTCCTCGAGTTGGAGAGATCGATGGAGCATTTGGTTTAGAATGAAACAAAGTTTGTGAAACATTAAGGTTGACTTGGTAAAAATAATTATTAATTTGAATACATTCAACAAATAGTTATGATTTAGAATTGTTAGAGGTTTTAACTTCAACTCCCCACTACAATCATTCATGAAAAGTAAGTTCTTAAGGTTTATTAGTTCTTAAGGTTTATTTGTTTAAAAAGATTTCTCCTCTCACGTGGTTCGTTTTGCTTCTTTTATTTGTTTCGACATATTTCGATCGTGGGGCCATATCCAACGTTTGGTACCAGAGCTAGGATGTCCAAACAAATTTCATCAACATACAAAGTCACCGGAGAAGATGTGACAATGATAAGGAGTGGAAGGGAGGGGAGGGTAACGCTCTAGTACCCGTTACTCATGAAGAGTAACTATACAGCATGGTTGATAAAGATGCGTGTTAACTTACCGGTACAAGGAGTGTGAGATGTCGCTGAGCATGGTGACATTGAGGAGCGTAAGGACAGGATTACTCTTGCCGCCATCTACCAAGCAGTCCCGAAAGACGTCCTTCTCATGTTGGCAGAGAACGACTCGGCAAAGGCAACATGGGAGACGTTGTAAACAATGCATGTGGCTGTGGAACGTCTCAAGGAAGCAAAGGCACAAACTTTGAAGAGTCAGTTCAAGGTTATCCGCATGAAGAATGGTGAGTCAATAGAAGACTTTGCCATGAAGTCGACGACGATCATTAGCGGCATCCGTTCATTAGTCGACGTGGTGGAGGAGATCTCCGTCGTCAAAAAGTTTCTTCAAGCAGTTCCCCCAAGATTCATGCAGATTGTTACCTCCATCGAGCAGTTTAGCGACCTCAAGAACATGTCGGTTGAAGAAGTCGTTGGTCGTCTTAAGATCCATGAAGAAAGACTTCGCGGTTACGAAGACAGAGGAGGAGAAATACCTCTTACTCACACATGAAGAGTGGCCCACACGAACGCAAAAGAAAGATGCATATGACTCTTCTTTTTCATGTACGAGGGGATGTGAGAGTCTTAACAAGGAAAACGGAGGTCGTGGATGTGGTCGCAGACATGGTGGCAGAGAAGGTCGTGACAATACCTCACAAATTCATGACAATGTCAACCCCTAGAACGACAAGAGTATGATCAAGTGTTACTCTTATGGAAAATACGAGCATTATGCGATAGAGTGCTGCAACAATGAGTGCGATGAGGAGGCAAACCTCATGTTCACGAATGATGAAGAGCCCACATTGATGTTGGCCGAGAAAATGCGCAATTTGTTCATGCTCAATGAAGAGAAGGTTATGGCGAACCCCTTCATAGATGGAGAAGACCAAGTGGAGACCAGTATGTGGTACCTAGACAACGGAGCGAGCAACCACATGATTGGAGATCGAGCAAAGTTCAAGGAGCTTGATGAGAAGTTTTGGAAACGTGAAGCTTTGCGATGAATCAATTGTACCGATCCAAGGCAAAGGATCTATCTTGTTCTAGTATAAGAACGACGATCAATGTCTATTGACTAAGGTGTATTACATCTCGAGTTTGAAGAGCAATATTATTAGTCTTGGTCAATAACAGAAGAAGGTAGCAGAGTGGAGATAGTCGACTCGTTCCTCAAGATATAGGACAAAAATGGAGCTCTGTTGATGAAGGTAAAATAGTCGCAAAACCGCATGTATAAGATACTATTGAAAGACCATCAATATATTCCAAAAGTATCCATTGACGTTGACAACAAGAAAGTGAAGAAGAAACCAATGGGTCAGGAGAAAAGGAAACCGAAGAACATGGTCAAGAAGAAACCAGAGGCTACTACAATTAGTGAAGAGCAACCTATAAGATGGCGTGTTTCATCAGACTTGTCATTTCAACCACGTAGGCCTAGAGGAAGGCCACCAGGGCGTAAGAAAAATGGGTCATCAAACTTGTCCTCTTAACCAAAGAAGGCTAGAGGCATGTATAAAAAAGAAGGTTGAAAGACAAAGGAGTACCCTACAAGATGAAGAAGTCCTTGCACAAAAGAGAGTAGCAGAAGAAATTGCATGTTGTGAAATTAAAATTTCTTATGAAAAATACGGAGTTGATTAGGGACCAAGCAACGTTGACACTACAAAGCAACGTTGACACTAGAAAGCAACATACAAATATTCTCACCAAGGCCCTAGCAAGGATTAAGCTTTGCAAACATGCCGGAGTTGTTCAAAGTCAAGAATCTCAAGCAAAGTCAAACTTACCGGAGAGAATGTGAGTCATTAAGCTTGACTTGGCAAAAATATTTATTAACTTGAATAAGTTTAGGAAATAATAGTGATTTACTTAGGAGATTGTTAGAGCTTTTAACTTGAAGAGAGAGTTTAGAAAACTAGTTGTGATTTCTCCACTATAAATACTCATGAGATGTATGCTCTTTTCACAACCGCCAAGAGAATTGAAAAGACAAGTGCTTAAAGTTCCTTTGTTTCAAAAGATTTCTCCTCTTACGTTGTTCCTTTTGCTTCTTTTATTTGTTTCGACATATTTCGATCGTGGACCATCCAACAAAGTTAACTGCCCTTGGTTAAGACACAGAAGATAGCGCAAGCAATAGTTCCCGAAACTTTTAGTCTTCTGATGAGAGTTGCAATTTTAAGTTTGACTATGACAATTCCTCTGGGAAGGAGTTAAAGAAGACACCGGAGGCACCTTGTGAGATGATCAAAGGTAACAGCCCAAGAATCTTTGCCAGACCTAGGAGTGGATGACTTCTCAGAAGGAGCAAAAAAAAAACTTTTCTAACCATATGGCTCTGGAGATACACCGGTGGACAACTGTTCTTAATGGAAACACATCTTCAGAAGCAAATATGGTCAATCTCAAAGCATGTGGATCCCCAACTGACATAAAAGGAAAGGCCTAAGAGTGGAAGGATATCATTAACACAAGGCCGTTTTTAGAAGGAAAAAAAAAAACTAGGATATATACACAATGCCTCTTAGGGTATATGCACAATTTGTTTCCATTGAGAACAGTCAAATTGTGCATGTCTCCATCCATCAAATTGTGCATATATCCTAGTTTCGTATTGCAAGGCCTTAGGGTAGGCCCTAGGGCATTCGTTTTCTGTTAGCAACTACCTCAAAATTTGGTCCTCGAATTGGATAGGGTAGTTGAATCAGTTACACCTTTCGACAATAAATCTTGGACATAGCTCACAATCGAAATATACCAAAACAAATAAATGAAGAAAAAAAATAACTTGAGGGGAGAGTTTCTTGGAACAAAGAACCTTAAGCATTATACTTTCCAATTCTTTTTGTTGTTGTGAAAAGAACATACCTTTGATGAGTATTGATAGGGGAGAAAACACTAAAATTTTCTAAACATTCTCCTCAAGCTAAAACCAGTAACAATTCTCCTAAATAAATCGCTAACCATTTTCCTAAACTTACTCAAATTAATAACTATTTTTATTAAGTCAAGCTTATTGACTCACATTCTACCCGTAAACTTGACTTTTGCTTGAAATTTTTCACTTCGAGCAACTTCTGCATCTCTGCAAACTTAACCCTTGTAAGGGTCTTGGTGAGAATGTTTGTACGTTGCTTTCTAGTGTCAATGTTGTTTGGTTCCGGGTCAACTCTATCTTCTTCCGAAGAAATTTTAATTCTGCAATATGCAATTTCTTCCACTCCTCTCGTGTGGGGAAAAGTCATCATCAAGCTTACCGTAGAAACTTCTTGTAACATACTCCTTTTACACATACATTTTGGCTTCTGGTTGAGATGACAAGTTGATGTCCCATATTTGTTACGCCCTGGTGGCCTTCCTCTAGGCCTCTGGGGTTGAGATGAAAATTTTGATAAAACATACCATTGTAGGGTGCTCTTCGCTGATTGTAGTAGCCTCTAGTTTCTTCTTGGCCGGGTTTTTCAGTTTCTTTTTCTCTTGATCACAGGGCTCTTCGCTGATTGTAGTAGCCTTTAGTTTCTTCTTGGCCATGTTTTTCAGTTTCTTTTTCTCTTGATCATAGGTTCTTCACTTTCTTGCTGTCACGTCAATGGATACTTTTGGAAGATGTTGATAGTATTTCAATAGTATCTTATATAGGCGGTTATACGACCATTTTACCTCTATCAGTAGGGCTCCGTTTCTGTCGAATATCTTGAGGAACGAGCCGACTAACTCCACTCTGCTACCTTCTTCCGTCATTTGACCAAAACTAATAATATTGTTTTTCAAACTTAGGATGTAATATACCCTTGGTCAATAGATGTTGATCACCGTTCTTACACTAGAGCAAGATGGATCTTTTGCCTTGAATTGGTACAATTGATCTGTGGCAAAACTTTATGTTTCCACTGAATTTCTCATCAAGCTCCTTTAACTTTGCTCGATCTTCGGTTATGTGCTCCTTTAACTTTGCTCGATCTTCGTTTATGTGGGTGCTCGCTCCGTTTTCTAGATAGCACATGTTAGTCTCCATTTGGTCTTCTCCATGAAGGAGGTTTGTCATAACCTTCTCTTCATTGAGCATCAACAGGTTGGGCATTTTCTCGACCAACATCAACGAGGGGGGCTCTTCATCATCCGTGAATGTGAGGTTTGCCTCCTCAACGCGCTCCTTAGTGCAGCACTTGCAGCATAATGCTGTATTTTCCACAAGAGTAACACTTAATCATACTATTGTCCTTCTAAGGGTTGACATTGTTATGGATTTGTGAGGTATTGCCACGACCACCTCTGAAACCACGTCTGCGACCATGTTCGTGACCACGTCCACGACCTTTGTTTTCCATATTATGGCTGTCAAGTCCCCTCGTACCTGAAAAGGATGAGTTAGTCGCATCTTTCTTTTTCGTTTGTGCGAGTCACTCCTCAAATGTGAGTAAGAGGTGTTTCTCCTTTTTCTTTGTCTTCGTAGCCACAAAATCTCTCCTCATAGACCTTAAGATGACCAACGACCTCCTCAACCTACATGTTCTTGAGATCGCCGAACTGCTCAATGGAGGTAACAATCTGCATGAATCTCGGGGAATAGCTCGAAGAAACTTCTTGATGACAGAGATCTCCTCCACCTTACCGTTGACAATCATCATCAACTTCATGGAAAAATTGTCTATCGATTCACTGTCCTTCAATACGGATAGCCTTGAACTCGCTCTTCAAGGTCTGCACCTTTGTTTCCTTTACACATTCCACACACACATGCATTGTTTGCAGTGTCTCCCACGTTACCTTTGTCGAGTACTTTTCTGCCAACATGAGAAGGACGTCTTCTGGGACTGCTTGGTAAATGGTGGCATCAATGTCGTCACCATGCTCGATGGCGTCCACACGCCTTGTGTCTGTAAGTTAACACACATCTTCATCAACCATGCTACGTAGTTTCTCTTCATGAGTAACGGGTCCCTCCCTTCCACCCCTAATCGTTGACACATCTCCTCCGACGACTTTGTATGATGAAGACACTTGTTTCGACATCCTAGGTCTGATACCAAATGTTGGATATGGCCAACAATCTAAATATATTAAAACATAAAACAAATAAATGAAGCAGAAAGAACTAGGAGAGTTTCTTGAAACAAATAACCTAAGTATTATGCTTTTCAATTGTTTTGTTGTTGTAAATAGAGCAATACATCTTACTAGTATTTTCCTCAGGTTAAAACCATTAACCATTCTCCTAAATAAATTGCCAATCCATTTATGAGAGGGAGAAACCTCCTGATTTTGAAGTATCACTGGAATCCCTTTGTCTTGATATTATCAACGCCAATTTTCCTATGTAGTCTAAACGAGGTATTGAATTCATACAGACTACAGAGACCCACACAATTCTGTAAACCCTATATTCACACTCATTTGTCCGCAAAAATCATCAATAAGCATAGAAATCAAGCCAAGAATTGCTGTAAAACTTGTTAATGTTCACAGAATAACCAGGAACGCAAACAAACATTCCTACACAAGTCGTTTAAAAATGAAGCCGAGAGACGCCATACCTGCGCATTCCGCGATGGATCAGAATCAATCCTGATATTGTGCATAGAAACATTCTTGTGGTTGTGAGCAATTTCAGAAACGAAGCGACTAGTAGAAGTAGAAGAAGAAGAAGAAGGAATGGCGGCAGTGGAGTTGCTGTCGGTATTGATTTTAGAGAAATCAATGGCGAAGATGGTGAGACAATAAAGCGCGAAGACGAGGATAAGAAGAAGAAGCTGGATCCAGATTAACCACGAAACTCGGGGTTGAATTATGAGCTCATCTTCAAAATTAAACATATTAGGGCAAACGAGAATTTCATAGAGAGGATGAATTGGATTCAGCTTCTGATTTCGTTTCTTCAGATTTCAATACCCTCACAGGGGAAGGTCTAAGAAAAGTTCACAAAAATTACCTTTCCTTTCAATGCTTCCTTATCCTCTTCACTCTTGCTGCCCCCGCTTAGTCTCCTGCTTTGCTGAATAAAAATAAAAAATAAAAAATAAAAAGTATATATTTCTTTTTCAAACTAAATAATTTAGATTTTTCATAATTAAAGGTTTTTTTTTTTTTTTTTTTTTTACCACTTAGCTTACTAATAAATAATTTTCTGTTTTCAAAATAAAAAATTATTAGTTACATTTAGATGGGGTCGTTATGGTATGATGAGGTAACTTTCAATCTTCTACTACGTTTGTCAAAGGTTATTGTGTTTCCTTGATGGAGTAAAAAAAAAATATGGTAACAAGCCTTCGTGAAGATCCTCATCGCACCATAATAAATCATTTTCACATTAAAAAAAAAAAAGTATGACCTCCAGTAAGATTGTATTTAAACCTTTAAATTACAAGACTCTCGCTCCAACCACTTAGCTATAAAGATTATCATTAAAACTTGACTTACGACCTACACAATCTACAAGACCTAAAGCCTGGTTTCTTTGATATCAACTTTTTACCACCCAATCTACAAACGAGAAATGAGTGCAGCAGGATACAAGACAATATGTAAAAGACCTAAAATATACAACTTTCGAGCACTCTCCTATCTCAACCGACAATCGGCTAAAAATAAAATGTAGAAAGAGTGAGTTAGTAAAAATGTGTAACTCTCTACCTAAACAATTCTACAGACCTACCGACTATTTCTTGATCAAAATAAGATATGCCCTCATGTAGGATCAAACTACAAACCTTAAGTTTACAAGACTAATGCTCTACCACTAATCCAAGACATTCCCAGGATGACATTTATGATTTTCTTGACAGATTCATGATAGTCATCATCGATGAAATCTTTGTATACTCTAAAATCGATGAAAAACACAAATTACACCAAACGGAAATATTATTAGTGTTAAGGGTGCATCGACTATGCCTGAAGTGTTTCAAGTGAAAATTCTAGTTTCAAGAATTGACTTTCTTAGGCCACAAGTCCAGGAAGAATATAAGTTCATACACTGGTACCGACTAAAAAAATATTGGTATCGAGTCTAGGAAGAATACAAGTTCATACACTGGTACCGACAATCAGTATAAAAAAATGTATGTCCTCATGCAAGACTGAACTACAAACCTTTAATTTACAAGACTAATGCTCTACCACACTGAACTATAAGGGCTAATATTATTTAATCCAACTCTCAACATATATAGTTCTACGTAATCTAAAACTCGACTACTCTACTACCAATTTGTTACAACATAAGGTTTCAAATGTTGGACGTGATGATGATAAAGCAAGCAAACAACACAGTTGTTAATAAATAAAAATGATTTTCAAATTTATTTACAAACATGAAATGAGTTCAGGCTCGTTACAAATTCATACAAAATATAAGACCTACAAACAAAAAGGGATGATGCCCAAGAAGACTCTTTATGTGACTGTACAACTTTTGAAAATTCCCTCACCTCGACCGACAATCAACTAATATGTGAAAAAGAAATGTAGAAATGTGGTGAGTATAAAAATAATAACTAGCTATAATCCTAAAATCTTTTTCATAAAATAAAAAAAAAAAAAGAAAAAAAAAGTATGACCTCACGTAGGATAGCTCTACCATTGAGCTATAAAGATTATCATTGTTTAAATTCGACTCACAACCTAGACAATTCTACAGACCTAAAACCCGGTTGCATGTAAAAATAAAATGTAGTATAATCGGTGAACACGTGAAAATAAAATGTAGAATGTAGAATATTTTTAAAATGTGTAATGCCCTCATGCAAGATTAAATTACAGACCTTCAGTTTACAAGACTAACGCTCTACCACTTAGCTATAAGGGCTACTATTATTAAAACTCGACTCTGACCTAGACAATTCTGCAAGACCTAAAACCTGGTTGCATGTAAAAATAAAATGTAGGATAATCAACACGTGAAAATAAAATGTAGAATATTTTTAAAATGTGTAATGCCCTCCTATAGGATTGAACACTACAAACCTTTAGTGTACAAGATTGACACTCTACCACTGAGCTATAAGGGCTACTATTGTTAAAACTCAACTCTGTCCTAAACAATTCTACAGGACCTAAACTCCGACTGCTCTAATACCAATTTGTTGTTGAACACAAATTAAGACCAATCGACCGGAGATTATAAGACATTCTATAAAAACTACTATACTCTACTTTACTTAGAATTACTTTGAATTTCTTGGAATTCTTGGGAGTTTACTTTGAATGTATGTGAAATCGATAATTTATTTCTCAAGTTAAGAGAAGAAACATGAGACCGCACATATAATTTAGTAACTGGGAAGTACACAGGATCGCTCGCTCAAACTCATTGTAATATTAAAGAAATCATGTATATCGATTTTTATTTTGATCACTCCTTTTACTAGTTGGGATGAACTTTATTCCAAACAAATATTTATAATACATAAATCTTATTTTACCTGTTTGCATTCTTTTTTTATGGTATCATATCATCATAGTTTAAACTTATTAGAATAGTTTGGGTTACTTTTACTATCTCCAAAATAGAAACAATTTAAGACTAGGATGAGAGCATTAGTTCGAATACAAGAATCGCGAAAGAAGATCATAAGGTGAGACGACCTCTAACCGATCTAGATCCAAAGAGTCGGAACTTCTAAGTGAACCACCAACATCCAAACACAAGGTGGGACCGTGAGTAGTTAAAGTATCATAGGAACTTCTAAGTCCTTCCCAGATGCTCAGATAACAATAGAAAGTAGGCTCAAACTTCTTAGAACCAAGAGTAAAGCTAGTGGATACCTTCTAGGTTAAGGATGCAATGGGAGCTTACACGTATGTTGCTTACTAAGTATTTTATACAAACTCCTTTCTCCTTGTTTTTTGCGGGGGGATTGTAGGTACCTGTCAAGGTGGGAGAGTGCTCCGAAGCTGTTTTGTCACAAAGAGGTGACCACCTGGCGTGTCAATTTAAATTGTATTTTGTAGGTTGTCATCTGTATTCGTTTTGTATCACACTCCCATTCCCGTTTGTAGATAACTTGAACATCATCTGTTTTAATTCGCACGAAATTTTATCATATTTTCGTTATTTTTTAACTTTTTTTAATTTTAATTTTACTTTTATTTGCTTTCTTCTCGTCTTTTTTAGTTACCGTCCAAGATTTGAAGTCTAAAAAATCAAGTCTTAAATGGATATATTTATGAAAGTGTAAAGTTTTAATTAATATAATTATTAGTATACTCAAAAACATTTGAAACCATGAATAATAAAAAATAAAAAATATGAAAAAAGAAATAGACCAAAAAAACAAGGAGGCTAGATCCGTTCTCAAACACACGCAAATAACTAACTATAACGGCCATTCCCACCCTGTCTCGCTCTCACACCCTCTCCTCAATCCTCCATTATTCCTTCATTACCGTCGGTTGATGGGAGACCCAAAATCCACCGCCGCCCTCCCCGAGCTACAATCTCCACCAAAATCTTCAGCTCCACCGCAACCTCCGCCGCTGCCACCACAACCCTCCTTGACTTCATCCTCCTCCCTGGTCCCCCCATCAAAGAGAAAGAAGAACAAAACCAAAGTGTTTCGAGTATTCCGATCGGTGTTCCGATCCTTCCCCATCATAACGCCAGCAGCATGCAAGATCCCATCGCTACCGTCGGGCATATCAGAAACGCTGCTAACGCAGTCGGGGAACCGGGTGACGGGGACGCTGTTCGGGTACCGAAAAGGGCGCGTGAGCCTATCCATACAAGAGACCCCACGAAGTTTCCCTAGCATCGTGATCGAGCTAGCCATGCAGACCAACGTGTTACAAAAGGAAATGAGCTCCGGGATGGTAAGAATCGCTCTCGAGTGCGAGAAGAGAACCGACAAGGCCGACAAGACGAAGCTGATGGAAGAACCATTATGGACCATGTTCTGTAATGGCAAGAAAAATGGATATGGCGTCAAAAGGGAAGCCTCCGATGATGATCTCAAAGTTATGGAGCTTCTCCGGGCGGTGTCCATGGGTGCTGGCGTCTTGCCGGGAAACTCTGACGTGGACGGCCCTGATGGGGAGCAGGCTTACATGAGGGCCCACTTCGAACGTGTGGTGGGGTCCAGGGATTCAGAAACCTTTTACATGTTGAGCCCGGAGGAGAATAGTGGGCCCGAGCTTAGTATCTTTTTTGTAAGAATTTAAAGGCTTTGCAATTGCTGGAAATTAATTTATTCATTCTTTATTATGTAATTATTGGTCTTCCAATGGATTATTGTAATCACCTTTGGATTTCGCCTCTTTTCTCCATATTTCTTTCGATTCAATTCGTTTTTAGACGTGCAAATGATGAAGTGTCACAACCCAATTTCATACGACCCGCGACTTTAAAATAAAAAAAAGGTGAGAACGATGGTTGAGACTTGTCTATGGCACCTACCCTAATTCACTCTGGTCCAAACACCAACTCCTTATTTAGCTTAAAAACATAAAATTCAATAAGTAGCCTACTTGTAAGCTCTTAATCACGTAGGTTTCACACTCTTTCTTAACTTGTTCTAGTTCTTGTTGCAATTACTTAACTTTAGACCCTTAGATTTTGTTCTTGAATGACGAGTTCCTATCATGATCTACCTAGTTTGAGGACTTTGGTCCTTGAATTATGAGGTTTTAGCTTTGGTTCTAATATAAGGGCCTTCGTACTAAGGTTTTGCGTCTTATCTTCGGAACTTGGATCTTGACCTATGTTTTAGTTCTTGAATTCGAATTTTATCCAAAAATTTACCCGAAAGCAATTTTCTTCAATTGAAGGCGTTCCTAAACACGACTTCCTATCTCTCAGTGGAAAGCATTGGGGGATGGGTAAAAGGAGCTGTTTCATGAATTGAATAGCAATTCGAAGCGTGTAGAGTGAAGAGATTGGTGAACCAATTTTTGATATTTTATAACCTTCTGCACCAATTCCAGCCATTGCCATCGCTGCCAGTCTGAAAAAGATGCTACCCAACTTCAATGTCAATATCAATATCACTATGACATACTAAATTTGATATTGGATATCACTTTCCCAGAAGAAGAAGAAGAAGGAAGGGATGAATTTGAAAGGACAGAGCCGCGGAATAGGGGGAGGCAATGGCAGCTTCGCAGAAAAAAAACATTAAAAATGAATTGTTGAGAGTGGGATTTGAACCCACGCCCTTTCGGACCAGAACCTTAATCTGGCGCCTTAGACCAACTCGGCCATCTCAACGTTGATGTCACAAGATAAATCTAAACAATGCTATATCATTATATTTTTCATTTTCTTTTCATAATGGGTGGAATAAACCCTCCTTCTCCCTCGCGTGAAGCATCAGCCGCATAGCAGCATCCCATTCGATTTCGCGCTCTTTCTCCGGCTACTCTCTGCGACGGTGTGCACGGCAACCAACGAACCCAAGAAGCGCAACGGTGCAAGACTCACGAACAGTGCCGTTGTTTCCTCTTCGGCGATTCGCGATGCTGACCGGCGCGATTCTTTTTGCGGTGGCTATTTTTCCGTCTTACTGTACCACGATGCATTTCTAAACTGTGAGCGAAAATGCGTGTTCTTTCACGGCCTCAATGCCCACAGATCTGATCGACAGCGCGAGGACTCTCCACTGCGGCACGAGTTTGATTGCATAAGCGGCACCCTAGCATTTTTGAAATTACCCACACCACGTTCGGCCGAAAATTAGATTTCCCACGATCCGTGAGGCTTAGATTTGTGAAATCGAACGAATTGCAAATTTGAGCCCTTTTTGGCAAGGTTCAGCAGGTAATGAGGAGTTTTGAACCCTTTCGAATCCTTTTGAAATATGTTATTGCGGGTTCTAACCGTTGGGATCTTTCTGCTTATAGCTTTGAACCAATTCGAGCTCAATTGAATACTTTCCAGCACGAAATTGAGTTCGTTCCTTCAAGTTTTGGTGGTAAGACTCAGTCTAGACCTTTTCGAGCCATTTTTAAGTGCCTTAGCTTAGTCTCTTACACTTCGAAAGCTCTCTTTTTTAGGTTCAAATTAGTTCTGGACCGTCAAATCAAGTCTGGGGGTGATTTGTGGTTAAGATTTTCCTTTTTGGTCACTCACTTAGATTCAACTAAGGTTTTTGAATTAAGTCTAACCTTATGATGTTGTTTTTATTGTTTAGGAACATTTTCAGATTGATTTAGGAAATGCTTTAGCACTTTAGGTAAGCAGTTTCTATCTATTGAGTTTGATTGCTGTTTGGCTTTAATTGTTTTATTAAGTATATTTTATTGAACTCTTTTTCTATATGTTAAGTTCTGAATATGTTGGACGTGTAGTTGTAATTTGTAATGTTAAGCATGATGGGGTGCTTGTGGTGCTTCAGTGATGCTTAGCATGATGAGATGTTGTGATTTGATCCTAAGTAGACAAGCATGCTGTAGAGTTGAGATTGTTTGAAAAAGAATGTTGGTTGTGTTAAGAGCACGTCTATGTAATTTTTGGTGAAGTTCTTCGGTTGGGAAATAGCCATAAAGCCATTAGCACAAGTGAATCTACAAAAAAGAATGCCCTGGATGACTCTATTTCTAAGTTGGTGCCCCCCTATGCAAAAGAAAAAAACAAAAAAACAAAAAAAAAAAAACAATCACAAAGTCACTTATTTATGCAATGCACATACTCTTAATATTTTTGGAAAAGGATTTTCAATACTTTTGGATGACACCTCACTTTTCATATGGAGATAAGGATTTATTGAATATAACCTTATTAATGTACCACCTTTTCAAGAATGCAAAAGCCTTGCTATGGAAAAATCTCATTATGATTTCTTTGGACTCTGCGGAAAGAAAGAAATTAAAGAGTATTCACAGAGAAGGCACAAACTTATACAAAACTCTTCAATAATGTTGTTTTCCATTCTATATCTTAGTGTAAATTGCCTAGCACTTTTACTTCCGGTAGTCACACCTCCCTCATTGTAAATTGGGAAGTCTTTTTTTGTTTTTTTTTTTGTTTTGGTAAACATCATGCATAACACATCCCTTTTGTAAATTTCAAACATCAACGAAATTGTTTCTTGTAAAAAAAAAGGTATGATTTTGACATCGTTTTGTAGTTTTGAATGTTTTTTTTTTGTTTGGCTGAATCTTTGTCATACTTTCTCTCACTTAAACTCCTGTACTAAATTTAATATATGTTTTGATTGGTAGTGTTGCAATATTTCACATTTCTTCTCATTTTAAACTCATGGTTTTACTCTTGACCTCAATCTGCTCATTCCTGGTATTTGTTTTTGTTTTTTAGGCACTTTTATCGTGAAAGCAACTATGAGAAATCATTCACCAACTTCTCCATTCCTTCTCTACTCCCACTTAAAAAACAAGCCTCTTGGTTTGAAATCAGAAATTGCAGGAAAAACTATCTTACATTTATCATCTTCTGGGCATATCAATCAAAGCACGGATGCTTTGGTGGAAACCTCGTCTAAAGTGGCCTCGCAGAGTAACTTAGTTGCTTTAGAGTCCATCAATGGTAAATGTGGTACCTCACCCGATTTTGCTTTAACTGAAAGTCATGTGATAAACACTCTTCTAGGCAACATAAGTGACCCAAAATCAGCATTGGAGTACTTCAAAAGGATTGAGAAGAAGAGTGGTTATGTCAAGAGCACTAATGCTATATCTGTCCTGCTTCTCATTTTGATGAATTCGGCAGAGACCCAGAAAATAGCTCAGAATATGCTCAATCGGTTTGCGTCAGGAAATTCAGTCTCCTCTAGTTGTCTTATAAACGGTTTAGTAGAATGCATGAAGCTGTACAGTTTTCCATCAGATATCCAGGTTTTTAATTATTTATTGAATAGTTACGTTAGAGCTTACAAAATTGAAGAAGCTCTTCATTGTTTTAATAAAATGGTAGAATTTGATGTAAAGCCATCAATTCAGTGTATGAATATTCTTTTGACTGCTATGGTTAGGAAAAACATGATTTGTGAAGCACGGGAGTTGCATAACAAAATGTTGCTGGAAGGAGTTGCAGGTAACTGTTTTACTCTGCATGTTATGATGCGTGCTTGTTTGAAGGAAATAAATATTGTGGAGGCAGAGCAGCATTTTTTAGAAGCAAAAGCAAGAGGAGTGAAACTTGATCCACAAGCATATAGTACTTTTATCCATGTAGTTTGTTTGAAACCGAATTCTGGATATGCTTTGTCTTTGTTAAGAGAGATGAGAGCTACAGGTTGGGTTCCTTCTGAGGGCACATTTACAAGTGTTATTACTGCTTGTGTGAAGGAAGGAAATATGGTAGAGGCTTTGCGGCTGAAAGATGACATGGTTAATTGTGGGAAGTCTATGAATTTGGCTGTTAAAACAAGTTTAATAAAGGGTTATTGCATGCAAGGAGACCTGAGTAGTGCTCTAGATCTTGTGAATGAAATTTATAACTGTGGTTTGGTTCCCAACAGAGTTACGTACTCAGTTATGATTGATGGTTTCTGTAAGAACGGGTGCATGGAAAAGGCATATGAATTTTACTCTGAGATGAAAATTAAGGGCATCAAGCCAAGTGTTTATTCTTTGAATTCTATGATACAAGGGTATTTGAAATGCCAGTCTTTGCAGAATGCATTCACGATGTTTGATGAAGCAGTTGAGAGTGGTCTTGCAAATGTTTTCACGTTTAATACTTTATTATCGTGGCTTTGTAAGGAGGGTAAGGTAAATGAAGCTTGCAATTTCTGGGATGAGGTGATTGTTAAGGGTATCAGTCCTAATGCCGTTTCTTACAATACCATGATACTCGGTCATTGTAGAAAAGGTAATGTTATTGAAGCATGTAAGGTGTACAAGGAGATGCAAGATAATGGTTTTACCCCAAATGTTGTTACCTTTTCTATTCTAATGGACGGTTATTTCAAGAAAGGTGATATTGACAATGCTTTTAGTATATTTCACAAGATGATAGATGCTAATATTCTCCCCACAGACATCACTTTAGGCATTATTATCAAAGGTTTGTGCAAAGCTGGTCGTACTTCGGAGGGAAGGGATATGTTCAATAAGTTTGTTTCTGAAGGTTCTATTCCTACATGTGTAGCTTACAATACTATTATTGATGGTTTCATCAAGGAAGGTGACATTAATTTGGCCTTGAATGTATTTAGGGAAATGTGTGAAGTTGGCATTTCTCCTAGTATTGTTACCTACACGTCCTTAATTGATGGGTTTTGTAAAAGTAATAATATAGATCTTGCTTTAAAGTTGTTGAATGATATGAAAAGGAAGGGTCTTGAAATGGACATTACGGCATATGGCACACTTATTGACAGTTTTTGCAAAAGAAGGGATATGAAAAGTGCATGTGAACTTTATAATGAACTTCTTGGAGCTGGTTTATCTCCAAATGTTGTTATCTACAATAGCATGATTACTGGGTTTAAGAATCTAAACAACATGAAAGCAGCAATTGACTTATATAAGAACATGGTGAATGAGGGGATTCCATGTGATTTGCAAACTTATACCTCATTGATTGACGGACTCCTGAAAGAAGGAAGACTTCTTTATGCATCTGATCTCTACACTGAAATGCTTTCCAAGGGTATTTCGCCTGATAATCGAGCACAAACAGTTCTCATCACTGGTCTTTGTAACAAAGGACAATTAGAAAATGCACGCAAGATTTTGGAAGAGATGAATGGAAGAAACTTGACTCCTAGTGTTCTCATTTATAACACATTAATAGCTGGACACTTTAAGGAAGGAAATTTGCAAGAGGCTTTTAGGTTGCATGATGAGATGCTGGGTAGAGGTCTTGTTCCTGATAACACTACGTATGATATTCTTGTCAACGGAAAGTTCAAAGGAGATTGTACTTTTAATAGAGATTTGAGTTTCTAAGTAGCTAGACTCGCCCTTCTCTATTGTTCCGAAAAGAAAGCGTGGTTATTAGGTATTTTGTCTTTTATTTGTTTATTTATTCTGCATGATATGTTCTTTAAGAAATAATATTGACCATGGTTTTTTTTAGGTATGTTTTCTTTTTCATTTTGGAAACGTTAAGAGGTTTCATGTCTTTGTCCCTCTTCAGTTTCAAAGGTATGGCTTTAAAGTCTTTTTTAGTTAATGTGTTTTTTTAATTGCCTTGGAAATTTCAACAGCCATAATCTTCAATAAAGATACCTCATATAAAGTTCTTATAATATGTTGCTAACTTATTTATTAATTGTTGTCATTGGTCAAACATCCAACTCATGGAAATTTTGCATGCCCCTCTGGTTGAATTTGCATTAGTTATTACAAACAGGTTAAGTTTTAAGTTTTCTGCCTAAACTTTTGTTATTATAATCAGGTTATATTATAAGTTTGGTGCCAGACGGTAAATCTTAAGTTTGAGGCTTGAATTTTGAAGGTTGTGTCCAATAAATAAGAAACTTTTTAATCATGTATTTAATAAATCTCTAAACTTTAGGCAATTTCTAATCCTTTAACTTCAATTTTATGTTTAATAGGTAGACTAACATTTCTAACTCCTACAAACAGAGATGAAAATCCGTCTTGATCAATCAGCCTTGATTCAATCTCCTACCTAAGGGCCTACGTTTCTTTAGGTTAGTTCTTTCTTGGCTCCTCTTTTGGGCTATTATTTTTTAGGCTCGTGATGTGAGGTAGCTTCGGCAACGGGTAAAGACTAGCATCTTGTAAACATCTACACAAAGGGTCTCTCGTACACAAAGTAATACTCAAGAGGAGGCAAGTTGATGGTTTTCTTGGAGGTCAAGAACCATAAGCGTGAAGACTAGCTTCAACCGAACACTCCACCAATTGGTGTCCAGCCTAAACATGAATGATTCGAGGGTTTAACGTGCAAGTTACACTAACTCATACACTCAAGGATGCTCTTGGCCCCAACTTTGAGGAGACGACTGAAACGTTATTTTCATTCAACTTCTCTTTACTAGGTTACAAAGAAACACAAGGTAATTTATACATGGTCAAGCATGAAAAATCTAAAATGCATAATGTAAAGTTAAACAAGATTAGCCTAATAAAACTAACTAAAACAATTTAATTAAAGTGTAGGGAAGGAAGGGAGTGAGGTTAAGCACGTATGCCCACAAAAAAAAGCCCAATAAGGTTCTTGTCAACAACAACTACAAGATCTGTTGGATGATGAAAGTTCCACATCGGCTAATTTAGGGAATGATCATGGGTTTATAAACAAAGAATACTCTCTCCATTGGTGTGAGGCCTTTTGGGGAAGCCCAAAGCAAAGCCATGAGAGCTTATGCTCAAAGTGAACGATATCATACCACTGTGGAGAGTCGTGTTCGTCTAACAAGGTCGACTAAAAAAAATCTGAAGTTAACAGAAGTACATTTAAAAGCCAAGGTGTTGCTCCAAATAGCCAAGATGAGCAACCTATTAACCCAACTTTGAAAGATCAAGGGCCAAAATTATAATTTAATCTTACAAATACTGCTTGGCTTCTCCTACGCTAGCAAAGACAGTATGGAAAGGACATCAGCCTAAAAAGGTGAAGTTCTTCCTTTGGAAAATAGTGCATAAAGCCATTAGCACAAGTGAAAATCTCCAAAAAAAAGAATGTTTTACATGACTCTTTCTCCAAATTGGTATCCATTATGCAAGAAAAAAACCGAATCACAAAGCCACTTGTTTATACAATGCACATACGCTTAGAATTTCTGGACAACGATTCTCAATATATTCGAATGACATCTCACATTTCCTAGGGAGGTAAAGGAATTTTTGGATATGGCTTAACGTACCACCCTTTCAAGAATGCAAAAGCCCTATTATGGGAAAACCTCATCATGACTTTCTTTTGAAATCTGTGGAAAGAAAGAAATCAGAGAATATTTGCAGAAAAGACATAGACTTACACAACTTTTCAGCAATGTTGTTTACTAAGATATACTGCCTAATATTTTTACTTCCTACAATTATACCTTTCTCATTGCAAATTGGGAAGGTCTTTTTGCAAACACCATGGATTATACATCCCTTTTATAAATTTCAATTATCAATGAAATTGTCTTTTATAAAATAATTAAATAAATAAATAAAATAATAATAATAATTCTTGGCTTCTTTCCGCATGTAGCTTTTTTTTAATATTCACTATTATTCTACTATTGAAATCTCGGTGTATGTATTACAATATATGCTCATTCGTTTCAATTTGCATCAATATCTTTTTCCATCCAGCAGGTCTGTGGTTATTGGTTGCTAGTGAACTTATCTTGCTTGCTTTCATCGCTGCTTAATGGATATTATTGTTTTTCAACTTGAAGAAATCCTTTATAATTTCTTTTTCCTTACTTTCTTCCTTTAAATCCAACATATTGGTGTCTTGCAAGGCACAACAGAGCCAATCCTCCGCTTTTATCCTATGTCAAGAGACACCTATGAACTTGCTCTATCACCCTTGCTTCTGAGATTAACATTTTCAAACTTGAGAGAAGAGGCACTGAACATCATCCATCCTTCTTTCTTAATAGAAGATGGATTCTTTTCTTATTGGAACATGTCAACTAAACTTCTTATATAGAAAGGATCCAGCATACTATCTTCCATAATTATTCTGTCAAAATTTTCCATATGTTAGCCCAATTATCATGGAAGAGGAATCTTGTAGTCGCTGTGGTCCATTTCCTATCAATTCATTACAATCTAAATCCTGTTTTTTTTATCCAGATCTACTTCCTTTCCTTGATTAAATATTGTCTTTCTACATTTTTTTGAGGTTCTTTTTGTTTTTTCCTTTGACAACGTTTATGAAGGATCTTTTCCCTTTCAAGGTAAACTTCATTGACGGTCTCTTTAAAATCTTTTCTCTTTCTTCCCCCTTAACAGCTTCTTTTGAGCACGTAGCTCTCAAAGCCACTTTTCATATCCCAAAATACTTTTTACCTTCTTTTATTTTCTTCTACTGGAATCGTCAAACTTCTCTTTGCTATCTTATTTAATTAGATTGAAAATTCACCATACCAGCCGTGATTTGAATTTTTCTGCATCCAGCTTGTTTCATTTTGAATCTGTACTTTTTCTAAGAATTATAGTTCAGATGCTCTGAAGAATCTCCACTAATGATTCTTCCACTGGGATGAATTGGTCTCTATGCATCCTGATAGATGAAATTTAGAATTTGTTGTTTTCTCCTCCTCGATCATGTTTCCCTTTCGAACTAGCTTCAGAACTAATAGAGAAAGATTGTTTTCAATTTTACAATGATTAAAATTCATGGAATCCGACCCTAATTCATCAATTTCAGAGCAAGCAAGAAGGAATGAACCAACCAACCTTTCTTTAGAGAGAGATGGTCACTGATCGAGCAGGTACCTTTTTTTCCTCCTCTTCTTTCTACCTCTTTTCCATGCATGACGTCTTTGTTGTTTTTAATGTTTTATTGGATCTAGAACTTCAAAAGGTACTGGATACAAGCAATTTTGGGAAAGTATATAGAACTCGGTATATAAATATTAATGCCTTTACACTAAGTTTAGGTAAATTTTGTATGTGCACTTTTTATTTGCCTTAAAGTTGTTAAAAATTCCTGGGTTGGTTAATCACTTAAATGAAACAAGGTGTAGCTAAATAAATATAGTAATTTGATTTGCATAAATAAAAAAGTTTGGAACTTATCAAACATATTGTGCAGCTTCATAGTGTGTTCTTTCAAAATATTCAAAATTATAAGCGTTCTTGTAAATTAGATTGCAAGTTTCATTTGGCTCTGGGGGTTTATTAATTTTTTTATTCATAGATGTTCTTTAATTTGTATTCTTGCGCTGAAAGAAGGATGTGTGCAACCAGAAAGCTTTTCTGTTCTACTCGTACTTTCCATTCCTTTTGTAAATTTCATATATTTCTTATAAAAAAAAGGATTTTTTTAATACTCAGCCTTACATAAGGCCTCCTATTCTGATAGGATCCATCCAAAATCTTTAACTTAATGGGTTATGGTAAATTTAATCTCATATCATTACTTTTTACCCTATGGGTACTTTTTTATTTCACAAATGCCTTAGTTCCATACTTTAGTTGTTGTAATTATGGGGTTGTATTTCTGAACCAAAATATTTCTAGTATTTGTACTTGATGAAGGGAAAGTGTATTACAGGGGTTCGGTCTAAATAGTTGACTTCATTTGCTTCCATATCTTGTCTTCTTCTTTTAGATGAACGTCGTGGGGTTATCAATGCTTTTACATTCCTTTACATGTAGTAACAACATATCATGGTTTGACTTATATAAACATATGCATCCTTAGGTTCGGATACTCCCTTATATTTCCACTGATCATTTGAACATCAACATACCTTGAAATTATGTACAGGCAGATAAGGGCACTACACCTTGGTTCCCTGAAGGCACGAATAGTACTTCGGTGCGTATGTTCTCATGCAAATTGATGTTACATTTTGTTACTGAGCTTTCTCCTTTCTAAAACCCCTAGGCTGGTGTGTGTTATGCAGAGGTAGTGAAGAGTATATGATGCACATGATCTCTCAAGTGCCTTTCTGCAACTTTTTGCTGGCCCAAGCACACTTCAAAATCTTCAATACTTGCTGCTGGGGTTCTCCAAGAAATGCTACAGATGCTGTAGTTGAATCATTGACAGGATCCTTGAGAGCAGCAACTATTGAAAAGATCATATCTCAAAAAGGGAAAGCATTCTCCTTGTGTTGTATAATTGTAATTTACAAGCATGTTTGTTAAGAGTTGATGGAGTTGGGGTAACTTTAGAGCAGTTTTTGCAGAGTACAAGGCCTGTGGGCTTGTTTTGTTGTATAATCATCGTTTTCCATTTAGATATTATGAAGGTTTCTGAAAATGGGTTATGTTTAAATTGATCCAATTAGTTCTTGACTTGTCATTCAAGACTATGAAATATACTTAAATATGTTATCTTTCTATATCCATCTTCGTCTTCCTTTTAATATTTGATTGTTCATGATTTCTTGTGGTGTTCTTCCATCTTGTTTCTTCACTTGTAAGCTTCCTTATATAATTAAGACTTCCCATTTAATTCCCTTCATCTATCCTAATCTCACCTTTTCTATTATTTAATTTTAGCATACTACACATTAAATATGCAAATATCTATCAATTTTCATAAATAATAAAATATTAATGGTTGATAACTTTATAAAATACCTATAGTTTATAAAAGAAAAATGAATACATCATAACAAAAATAAAATTGGTTGAATTATATAATTTCAAGTTTGCTAGTGTTAACAGTTTCTGCCTCCCCCGTGCCAATTGTAGGATTCCATTGTCATATGACCGCGGATTGTTTGTCTTCTCCTGTTCTATGCCACATGGCTGCCTTGCCATGACTAGATCGTCGCAATCGTTGGGAGGGATCGTGTGCGAACCCACTAAGAGTACAATGATCAATTCAAAAATTCAGGTTCGTTGGATTGGTAATCCAAACTAACCCGAAAGATCTTCCTTAAGAGCTCACATTGACGAGAAGGTTTGGCACCTCAATTACGGCTCTTTACCACCTAGAGATGTAGTATGTTCCAAGGGTTGGGCTATTCGCCCATTAAAGCGGTACGTGAACTGGGTTCAGAATGTCGTGAGACAGTTCAGTCCATATGCGATGTGGGCGTTAGAACATTGAGAAGACCTTTCCCTAGTATGAGAGGATCGGGAAGAACGCACCTCTAGTGTTTTTTTTTTTTAATTTTTAAAAAACTTTTATTTATCCTATCGTATATAACCATTTAGTACAATCTTAGTTTAGATAAAAGATATTAAAAATTAATAAATAGAGTACAAATCAATCCATAATCTTTAAAACAGATTCTTCTCGAATATAGTAACAATATTTTAAATCATTTTTTTTTTTACAAGTCATATAAAAAAAATGGAGTAGCATATAAAGAATTCTTCCAAAATTTTAGTCGTTTTCCAACCAATCCAAGATATACATTTCTAATTTAAAAAAATACATTTAAAAATTCATAAAATGAAAATAATTTGCTTTAAAATAACTAAAATATATACCCGATCCATAAAAACATTGAACAAAATAAGTTCGTAGGTTCAAAACAGCCCAAATGTATGCAATAAATCATAATCATTCCGCCTATTATAAATTATATTCTTAAAATTATTTATATTTAAAAAATTTTATAAATTTTATAAGTATTATAAAATGATACTTGATTTCCCAAATAAAAATTAAACAAAATAATAAAATAATAGTAAAAAATAGAATTGGTACATATGTGTGCATCAAATTTGTAATAATTATATATCAATAGGCATGAAAATTACATTTTGTGTGATATGACGTTGAGGGCGGAAATCATTGTGATGATTACCAACTCGTATGAACTAAGTTATTGTGATTTTTGACTTATGATGACTACTCATCTTCGGGAGTTTGACCAGTTTTGAAACTGTTTTTGGTCATTCAATGTAACAGCCCAAGCTCACCGCCAGTAGATATTGTCTTATTTGAACCTTTTTTTTTTCGGATTCTTCTCAAGGTTTCCACACTCTTATAAATGATGTTTTGTTCCCTCCTCAACCAATGTAGAATATCACATTCGACTTTGTGATATTTTTGTTATGTATGTATTTAGATAACTTACCAAGTATTTTTAATACTAGGCTTTTCTAAAAATATTTTCAAATAAGGGAACGGGCGTATAAAAGTCGTGATCGGAGGGACTTCTAGTTGCCATAGGATATTGTCCTCGTTCTTTTATTATACTTACATACTATTTCATTTATTTTCAGAAATCATCCTAAACCTCTTATTTTATTTGCTTTGCAAACTCGAGACACTGTTTAGGGAGATTGCTATTTACAAAGTAAATTTGGATGCATTATTTTGGAGGTTGACGACCGATTTAAGCACATCTACCCGTCGAGATTTTATGTGGAATCCTAGGGTGCACTTTTTTATACTATTGCTTGTCTTATGTCCATGTGTCATGATCCGTGAAGTGTACCCTCATTCAACTTGGTTGGCTTAATTGAGTTGGATTGAGTTAATCGATACCGAATTTTTATCTACACAAGGTTAGTTAGTGAATCTTATGTAGATCTATAATGACAATACCAAGCTCCAGGAGAGAGAGAGAGCCTTGTGCTTGCTAACTATTAGGTACCTACGTGTTCACTCACCCAATCTGTGAATGTGTGTATGAGTACCCGACCCAAGTTACATGTAAGAGAAAGTTTAGAAAGAATAAGGGAAGGAATGTATAACTTTGTGTAATAACTTAATTTTCATGAAGAAGGCATCATTATTGTTGGAGGTAAAATATGATGATGTGGTCGGTTTAATCTATTCTTGACCCTATTGCACTATTTTTGACTGTTTACTCCTTTTTTATATCGTTCTTACAAAAAATATTTTGTTTTTGAAAACTAGACCTAATTTAGGACACCTCCATGCAATTTTGACGAATTCTAGTTTGAAAAGCTCAAGAATTGAGCACCTGAACACATCCAAGCTAAGTAAATAACTATTTGGACATTTACGTGAGAAATGTGTGTAGAAATTGACAAGGTTTGGGGCATACGAAATTTTAGCATGCATTATAACTTGATTGAGCAAGAATTATATGAAATTCACAAGAATAAGTGCATGTATACATGGTCACAGTGAACAAGAAGTAAGTAATAAAATATTCCAGCGGGACATTTTTTTTTTTTTTTTGTTACATTTGTTTATGAAAATTAAGTGAGTTGTAAGTGTCATTGAAACCTGGGTTGATGAGTATAAAATATCTGTAAATACTATCCGAACATAGAAAGCGACTAGAAGATTCCTCTTAACAGATTCTCAGACAAGACTTATGCAGAGTACGTAAACAAAACTCAAAAAAAAAAAAAAAAAATTATTGCAACGAAACTAGAGTATTAAAGAAGATCCTCTTGCTGTCCCTTCTTTCTACCATTTTGCCCATTACAAGAATTATGAAATTAAAAATAATAAATAAAGTTTTCTAATAACTCATGAAATGATGCTTGAACCGAGACTATCCAATTTTGTAAACGAAGAATGAATGCTTGTTTAATATTCTTGGTCTTGGATCGTATAATAGGTCCAGTTGGAACATTTGGAGCACCGTGATCTTTATCATCCTCCATACCCAAAGTTAGTCTATGAGCAGTTAAAACACCTCTTAGAATTTTGAGACACTCCAAATGTTCAAATAGCAGTAGATACCGGACTCAAACTTCCAAGAGACAAGAGTAAACCCTATGGGTACCTACTAGAATAAGGACGTGATAGCCAACAAGTAGGTAGTTTAAACGAGTATTTTACAATCACCCCTTCCCCTTTCTTTTTCAAGGTGTTTGTAAGCTGTCGACAGAGGTGGAAAAACATTCAAAAGTTGCATGGTTATAAAGGGGATTGTTCCAAAACATCAGTCTATTTTTATATTCCGGGTTATTTGTATATGAAACCCATCATCTTATAATGAAATTAAAAATATTATAAAATTAAAAAAAGATTTGTGTAATGATGGCATATAAAAATTTAGGGTTCGTGATTGGTATATATAAGTAATAGGGTATATGGATTGCATTAATATTGGATTTTGCGATGGTCAATGAAAAAGATTGATTTGGGCCCACCCCACAAGGATAACGTGCATCCAAATAATTATACTAAACGTGCTTATTGCTTAACTATGATTAATCAAAGATAAACACAAATTAGCTGTTATCTAATTAATTAATTAATTATTCATTAATTTAATTAGTTGATTAATTCAAGTCAATTCACCTTTGCCCTACGCTAATCCTTTTTTCTTTTTAATTACTTAAACATCAATTATAAACATCTCCATTGTATTTTAATAAATTTTATTTTATTTTTTTATTAAGTTCTGTCACCATCACTTACAATAACTTACCTCGTTAACCACTATTTTACACACGGATTGATATATAGAGTTTCTGATTATCAAATTTAATGATCGTATGAGATAGGTGGGGTCACTAGGGACTACGTGGGAAAAAATGATACAGCTAGTGAGAAAGAGAGTGATCCACTAAAAATTGTGCACGGGGTCAATGACTGTGAAGAACCTAACTTACAAACATTCCTAGATTAATTGGAGTTAGAGTCGTTCTACTCAATCTAGTTTCAATGAACTCATAAATTAGCAAAATTATTAATTATGCAAACCCAATCTAAATGGTATGTGTTGAGCTACTCGTGTTTTTCGAGCTATTGAATTTTCTGAACACTTCTAAATTAATCTAAAATTGGGTTGAGCGTGT